GATAGCCATGAATGCCTCCACATGGGACAGTGGCGAGACTCCTTTCAGGGCTTGCGTCTACCCCATCCCATGCTCCACAGGGCCTCACAGATCCTCCTTTCCTCCCCTGAAGAGCAGAGGTCTCTTATAAAGCTGTGGCCGCACCTTGATGGCTCTGGGTAGGGGGATGGAACCAGCAAGCTTGGGGCACAGCAGAGGGGGGTAGGCATTTCTGGTTTCTCCTTCCCAGAAACTCTGGGGTCTGTAGGAACTGCCTCCCTGGCCTGCAAGGTAGTGGCAGAGACAGGAAATGCTGGGTTCCTACTGTGAGCCCCTCAAGGAGCAGGGGAGAGGACACTGAAGGATGTGGCCATCCTGTCCCATTAGAAGTGACCCATTAGGGTCAACACTAGGATTGCCACCCGAAGTGTAAGGGCATGAGATCATGTTGTGGTCAGGGATTGGGGGCATATTTGCACAGGGGTACCCGAGCCCCAAGAGACAGCTATGAAGATCATACATATGGTGTTGAGCAGCACAGCAATTCCCACTGGCCTCACCCCACACCCCAAAGTCTTTAGGGTACCTGGATCCTACCCTCTTCCTTCCATCAAGTAGCACACACTGCCTCTCTGCTCTCTTCCATCCACGACAGGGTGCCAGCTGCCTCAGGCTCTGGGCAAGGCACTGGGGTACAGAAAGAAGCCCCAGTTGTCCCCATGCTCTGCCCGGGAGACTTGGGAAGTCACAGATCACCAGCAGGGTGTTGCTGGCAGGGAGGCCTGCCGTTGGGAGTTTGCAAGTACAGAAACTACAGCAGGAGGGAAGGATGTTCAGGTAGAAGCTCAGCTGTGGAGAAGCCAGGTTGGTGCTGGAAGCTCAGCCCATTCGCTGGTGGCCCATAGAGGTTCCCATCCACTGTAGCAGCATGACCCTTGAGACGGTGTGCTAAGAACTCAGCTAGCTAGTGAACCTACAGGAAATGCAGCTCTCCCCTTCCTATCCCGGCCACACTCAGATCCAGCAAGCTGGGGGAAGCCTATTGTGACTGGGCTTCCCTCCCCAGGCATGGGGCAGTTTTCTCAATGTCAGGCTGGGCTTTACTTGGGGCCAAGAGATTGCTAATCGAGGTGGACCCAGGTTCAGAGAAGAGCACCTCACCAGAGAAGGTGTTCCAGCAGGCCAAGCGACCACTTGTCAGCAGACCAGGGTAGGTTTCCAGGTTTCCCAGTAACAGCCTCACTAGCTGGGGGTGTACTGTGCTTCTCCCTCAGAGGGGGGCTCCTGGCTTCCCACTGCCACTCAGCAGCTCTGACCCTGGGAAGCCCGGTGGGGCAGGCTTGCACGGGCTATGAAAGGAGTGTGGCCATGGCCATAGAAAAACAATTCACACCTTTTGTAAGAGGATTTATTTCATTTGTCAACAACATAGGGTCAGAAAAGCCCAGCTGTAGGGGATCTTTTTTATTACTAGAACCAGTCTCGGGCAATTCTATGTATCTCTGTTCTCTCTCCAGGGAGCTTGTAATAGCTCAAACCCCCAGATGCCAGGCAGGCAACGGGCTCACTCCACCCCCTCCCTGCCCACGGAAGGGGGCGCAATATGACCGGGCCCCCTCATCCGTGAGGCCAGTTCCCAGGTCCCTTTGGAGAAGGGTGCCTTCTCAGCCCAGCAGGGACTAGAACCAGGGACTGGGGAGGCCAAGACAGCTGGTGACGCCACACCCTGTCCGAGCTGAGGAGGAGTGGGCCCAGTCAACTCCTCCAGAGAACCAGAGCCCTCTGTAAGCATTCCCCAACGTAGGGTAATTACAGCCACAGATCTGCAGAGCTCCCCAAATAACTGCTATGGGCCGGCAGGCAGGCTAGTGTGAAGGATAGGTGGCAGGAGCCAGCAAGCAGGCGGTGCCAGCAGGAAGGACCACTTGAGGACCTGCTGCCCTCAGAGCTCCTGCCACCTTCCCTCTGACACCAGGTGCCGGAGCCCTAGTCCTCACTCGAGTTGTCAAACTCCTCCCAGTCAGACACACTCATCACCTCGGAAGCAAAGTCCGGGTCGGCCTGGCTGCGGTCAGGGGTCCCACGAGGCGGCTCGAGGAGCAGGGAGCGGGGCAGGGTGAGCACACAGGCTGCCAGGCCCGAGATGGAGTTGTCCAGCTGCGGCCCCTCCTCCCAGCAGTCTTTCTCCACGTCGTAGATGTGCACATAGCCTGTGCGGCTGCCACGGTTGTGCGAGCGGCCACCCAGCACGTAGATCCTGGTGTCCAGCACAGCGATGCCAGGCTCACCGTGTCCAGCTGGGAGCGGGCAGACGGACGACCACTGCCCAGACGTGCAGCTGTAGCAGGCCACCTGCAAAGCCAAGGTCAGAGTAAAGCTGGACACCTGCTGGGACAGAGCTGCCAGCCCGTCCTGGGCCAGCTGGGCAGGGCGGCACTCTCAGCCAGGCCCTGGATTCAGACCAAGGCTGAGGGATGCAGCCAGGCTATGTGTAAACCCGGCTCCCCTGGAGGAAGAGTTTGGGGCCAGCGTCAAAATGTCCTGTCCATGGACCAGGCTCTGCCCTGCCTCCGGGGCCCTCAGCCAGCCTGTGGCCCCAGGTGTGTGGGCATCTCCCAGTTGGCACACTGGCATCCTGTTCTTCTCCAAGGTCTTGGGTTCTCTCCCCTCCATAAGACTGAAACTGACTGAGGACAAGGACCCCAAGTAACTGCCCCACAAAGTACCCAACACAGAAACAAGTGCAGATAAAATGTGGAAATAGTTAACTTGCTGACTAGAGATGACCATCAACGTTCTCATGTCTCCAAAATTACCCCAAACAGTAAACAAATACATGGGAAAATGTTCAACCTATTAATAATCCAAAAAATGTAAAATAGGAGTTAAATTTGTCCCTGACAACAGGCAGCCACTGGGGGAAGAAAAATCACAAGATCCAGTGCTGGCAAATGTGTAATGAAGCCATACTACTGCGCATTTGACACTCCACGGCAGCTATTCGGCAATGTGTACTAAGAGCCACAAAAATCTTACTTTTTGACTTAATAATCACACTTGGTTCTCCAGCTGTGGTCGGCAGAAAAGTGACCCTCCAAAGATGCCCATGCCCTAAATCTCTAAAATCTGTGTTACTTTACATGGCAAAAGGGACTTTGCCAACGTGCTTAAGGGTTTGGATCTAGACATGGGGAGGTTATCCTGGATATTGTGGGTGGACCCACCTAATTGCACAAATCCTTGAAAGGAGAGGGGAGAAAGTCTAACAGGAGAGAAGTCAAAGGACAACCTGCCATTGCTGGCTGAGGATGAAGCGGTCCCATGCCAGGGAATGCAGAGGCCACCAGAAGCCAAGGACCTTTAGCTGACAGCCAGAAAAGAAACAGGGACCTCAGTTCTACAAACGCGGGTAACTGAATTCTGATAACCTGAGTGAGCAAGGAGCAGATTCTTCCCAAGGGCCTCTATAAAGGACAGACACCCTGATGACACCTGGATTTTAGCCCAGTGAGACCGCATCAGACTTAGGACCTACAAACTGTAAGAATACACTTGCTTATGTTGTTTTAAGTGATTAAGTTGGTGGTGATTTGTCATGGCAGCAGGGGTTCTTACCCCTGGCAGCATAGCCCAGGGGTTCTTACCACTCAAGACCTATTAAAACAGATTTGCTGAGGGGCACCTGAGTGGCTCAGTCAGTTAAGCATCTGACTTCGGCTCAGGTCATGATCTCACAGCTTGTGAGTTCGAGCCCTGCGTCGGGCTCTGTGCTAACGGCTCAGAGCCTGGAGCCTGCTTTGGATTCTGTGTCTCCCTCTCTTCCCCTCCCCGGCTTGCACTCTGTCTCTCTCCAATAAATACATACATACATACATACATACATACATACGTACATACATACATAAACAAACAAACATTAAAAATAAATAAGTAAATAAAAACAGATTTGCTGAGCCCTGCCCCCAGAGTTTCCAATTCAGTGGGTTGGGCATGGGCCCGGCGTGGGTCCTGAGAACCTACATTGCTAACAAGTTCCCAGGTGATTGGATGCTGGTAGTCTGGGACCACGCTTTGAGAAGAATGGCTCTCACCTAAGGAAATAATCCAAAATACCTGAAAAGTTCTACAAAGCAAATATTACTTATGTTACTTGAAATAGTTAAAACTTGAACCAATCCAAATGATGCATCAACGTGACAGAATTCTGCAGAGCCACTGAGGTAGAAGAGGTGGCTATGGAGATCAAGAATTAAACTGGAAAACAGCCATAACAAACTTTAGCCAGAAGCAGAATGGAATGCTCTTTACCTACAATTAGGTGGAAACTATGCACGGGTAGGACTAAAAAATAGTGGCACTGAACTGGATTATGGGTGCTTTTCCTCACCCTTATCCATTATTCAAACATTTTGCAAGGTGGTTATATTAATTTTATAATTAATGTTTTTAATAATAAAAACAAATGAAAGTATCCTGTACGATACTATAATGGTGGATACATGTCATTCTTCCAAACCCATAGAATGTACACCACCAAGAGTGAGCCCTAATGTAAACTTTGGACTTGGGGTAACAACACGTCACCGTAGGTTCACTGACTGTAACAAAGGTCTCACTCTGGTGGGGGATGTTGACAGTGAGGAGACCATGTGTGTGGGGGTGGGGGTATATGGGAAATCTCTGTACCTTCTGCTCAATTTTGCCAAGAATCTAAAACTGCTATAAAAAATAAAGTCTAGGGGCGCCAGGGCGGCTCAGTCGTTAAGCGTCTGACTGGCTCAGGTCATGATCTCACAGTTCGTGGGTTCAAGCCCCGCGTCGGGCTCTGTGCTCACAGCTTAGAGCCTGGAGCCCGCTTTGAGTTCTGTGTCTCCCTCTCTCTCTGCCCCTCCCCTGCTCAAACTCTGTCTCTCTCTCAAAAATAAGTATACATAAAAAAAAAAAAGTCTATTGGGCACCTGGGTGGTTTTAAGTGTCCGACTCTTGATCTCAGCTCAGGTATGATCTCACAGTTCATGAATTCGAGCCCTGAGTCTGGCTCTGCACTAATAGCACAGAGCCTGCTTGGGATTCTGTCTCTCCCTCTCACCACCCCTTCCCCACGTCCACTGTCTCTCTCAAAATACATAAACTTTAGTAAATAAAGTCTATTTAAAAAAAAGGCATACACATTACAATTAATTTTTCATCCATAACAGTTAAAAGGGATAGGGGTGCCTGGGTGGCTTAATTGGTTGGGCGGCCGACTTCGGCTCAGGTCATGATCTCGCGGTCCGTGAGTTCGAGCCCCGCGTCGGGCTCTGTGCTGACAGCTCAGAGCCTGGAGCCTGTTTCAGATTCTGTGTCTCCCTCTCTCTGACCCTCCCCCGTTCATGCTCTGTCTCTCTCTCTCTCTCTATCTCAAAAATAAATAAACGTTAAAAAAAAAAAATTAAAAAATAAATAAATAAAAGGGATGGGAATAATGTGTAGGTGGGCAGCCCAGCTCTGCTCACCTGATGCACGTCCCTCCTGTAGCCAGCATCATTGTTGCTGCCCCCAATCACGTACAGCTTGTCCAAGAGGGTGGCCATGCCGTGCCAGGCCCGCCGCACAGGTCCGTCCGCCAGGCTGTGCCAGGTGTTGCTGTCTGGGTCATAGCAGTGTGTCTCCTTTAGGTAGTCCTCCCCTCTGCGGCCGCAGGTAATGTACATCTTCCCCTCCAGCGAGGCGCCCGCGTGGGCATACACCTGCTCAGGGCCACCAAGAGAACCGGGACAGCGGGAAGGGGGCAAGAGGGCCATGAGGGAGGGCAACCAGGAGCCCTTGCCAAGGCCACTCATACTCCCAAAGCTGCCCCATGCCTCATGGCATCCCAACATCCACCTCACGTTCTGCAAGCATATTCCCTGATACAGTCCAAGTCATCCACCCCAACCTTACTCCAACAGGAGACAGTCTGTGGACCCAGAGGTAACTCTGAGTTTCTACAAGGTGGAGAATGGAATCTCTCTCTCCCTTGCCCCTAAAGGAGATGTCTGCATGGGGGGCCCAAAGCAATCAAAGCACAGCTTTCAGAGCCAGACACAGGAGAATAGATAGTACTTCTGGGACTGCCTGACCCATGCTCAGTGCCCTCCACCTCCCCCCACAACCCCACACCCCCTCTCCCAATGGCCAGCCAATCCTCCAGGACTGCTGACCCCACTTTCTTTTTTTTTATTTATTTTATTTTATTTTTTTTTTTTTATTTATATATGAAATTT